ATATAATATAAAAAAATCAAATATATATAATTTATTTATACACAAATAAAAATAAAAAATATATATTTACAAAAAATATTAACGTTAAACATGCATATCAATCTTAATGTTTGATCTTTATTTGTTTGCAGGTACGACCTGGGCTTACGTCGGGGTAGCTAGTGAACCCTCTCTCGGTGGCGAAAGGAAGAATAAGACGGGGAGGCAGTCGACGAGAAAGCGGGCGAGTCCGCGCGGAAGAAGAAGAAGAGGAAGTCCGGAGAACGCAGGCGCAGGCACCGTAGGTGATGTGAGGCTGGCGCCCGCCTCACGTCTGGGGTGATGCCCTCCAGTGAGCCTCATCCCCCGTACCACCTTCAGCACCACAATATTCCTCCGTCGCATATACAGCAGCACACGCCGAGCGCGATCGAGCATCAGTTCTTTCAGCAGCTGGTGGCGGTCCATCATCAGCAGCAGCAACAGCGACAACAGCAACACGGCGGGCCCTTTCAAAATTCCACGTACGCGCAGCAGAAGCAGGAGATGAGCCCGGAGGAGGAGGGGGGCCGAGGGGGTGGGTCCCCCCCGGCGGCTGGGGCTGCGTTACATCAGCCCCATCACCCCCGCACGGCCAGTCCACCTTCGGGCACGGAACCCTGCACCCGCGACGCGATACCGACACCTACACCTATCGCGGACACCACCACCACCACTACGACCACTACTATGACGATGCAATCGCAGGGTCAGCAGCAACAGCAAGGCCCTAGTCCGAGTCCGAGTCCGACGGGCGGCGATGTGGAAAAATTCGACGGTAAGATCATCTACAATCCGGATGGGTCGGCCTACATCTTCGAGGGCGAGAGCGAGCTCAGTGAAGACGACTCTCTACCTGATGGTTGTATCGTGGACGGGCGCGGTGTATCGGTTCCTCACTCTTTAGTTTTCCCGCAAATCGCGAACGCGTACTACGTATCGCGGTTGTATGCGCATCAGGCCTATCAGCAGCAGCAGCAACAGCAGCAACAACGCTCGACGGCCCAACAGCACAATCCCGATCTTCCCGTAATGCACAGTTACCGGGTGATCAGTTACAGGAGCGCAGAGGGTAGTAAACAACAGCCCGCTCCGAAGTTTACGGCGCCACCATCACCTGCATCAGTGCCCATCAAACCTATCTTAATGTGTTTCATATGCAAGCTCAGTTTTGGATACGCGAAAAGTTTTGTCGCGCACGCTCAGGGCGAGCATCAACTTACTTTAATGGAGGACGAACGACAGATACTTTCACAATCGACAGCGTCGGCTATCATTCAGGCTGTGGGTAGAGGAAAGCAGCCACTTGTTAGTTTCCTGGAGCCTGTCACGAATTTGGCTTGCACTCAGGCGTTACCCGCGCAAATACAAGGTCAACAGCATCAGCGTAATGAGTCTAACGAACACGAGACAACGACAACGAACACACCGGCGAGTACACCTGGCGTACCTAGTAGTCCTCAACAACAGCAATCGCAACAAACGCAACAGCGACCCTCGCCGAGCACTCCCACAACGCCGACGTCACATTCGAATCATCCTCTCACATACAATCATCAACAACATCAGTGGACCGGCGCGCAGGTCAGTGCCGTATCCTGGGCCAAGGCTCCCGATGTCATGCATTACAGCTCACCACCACCGTCGGCTTCGTCAGTTAAAGGATCTCCATCTTCATACGCGCTTACTCATCCACAAAACCCACCGAGTTACAGTGGCGGTACCACGATAGGTGTGTGTTCGGATCATATGCAAGGCAGACCGAGCGGAGTAGAGTGCGGTAGGTGTGAATTGATATTAGCTACCAGTCGACTCGCCGGTGCCGGTGGACCGCTCGTTGGCATCCACAGCCGAAACTCTTGCAAAACTCTGAAATGTCCTAAATGTAACTGGCACTACAAGTACCAGGAGACCCTTGAGATACACATGAAGGAGAAACATCCGGAAAACGAGACATCTTGCATCTATTGCATCGCTGGTCAGCCGCATCCTAGGTTAGCGCGTGGCGAAACTTACACTTGCGGCTACAAGCCATACAGATGCGAAGTATGCAATTATTCTACCACGACGAAAGGCAATCTCAGTATACATATGCAGAGTGACAAACATCTGAACAACATGCAAGAATTGCAGCAAGGTAGCGGGGGTGGTTCCGGTACCAGCAACCCCTCCTCGTCTCAGGAAGCGCCAATGCCGACACGGAGTCCTCACCATCAGCAAAATCACAATCCACATCTGACCGCTCAGAGTAGTAATCAGAGTAAACCGAAGCATTCGTTTCGCTGCGACGTATGCAACTACGAGACGAATGTCGCGCGGAATCTGAGAATACATATGACGAGCGAGAAACACACACACAACTCGCTCGTTCTGCATCAGAATATCAAGCACATGCAAACATTGTCCGTGTTGTCTCACCATCATCAAGCGCAGCAGCATCATCAGCAGGCGCAACAACAACAGCTCGAACAATTGCTCCACTTAGGCGGTCTGGACAAACCTCCGCAACACGCGGAGGCGGCATTGGCTGATATGGCTTACAATCAAGCGCTTCTGATACAAATGATGACCGGCGGTCCACTGCCACAACAGCTCCCGCCTGACATCATGGCGAACATGGCTGCCATGACTAATCTTGGCGGCGATGTTGGGCTTTCGCCGGACAGCATGGAGCCGCCGCCAGAACCCGCGGACCAAGATCCCACCCATCTTTATCACTGCTGTGTCTGCAACAACTTCGCGACGGATTCACTCGAGGCTCTGGGCCATCATTTGGCCGTCGATAGAACGAGGACCCGCGAAGGCGAGATACTTACGGTGTTAAACGCACATTTCATTTGCAAGCTCTGTTCCTATAAAACCAATCTGAAAGCGAATTTCCAGCTGCATTGTAAGACTGACAAGCATCTGCAGCGGCTGCAGCACGTGAACCACGTGAAGGAGGGTGGTCCACGTAACGAATGGAAACTCAAGTACTTGGCGTCACCCACGAGCGCTGCACAATTGCGCTGTCACGCGTGTGATTACTACACTAACAGCGCCCATAAATTGGCTTTGCACGCCGCCTCGCCCAGGCACGAAGCCGCGGCGCTTCTGCTCCGTCATCTTATTGAGGCGAGCAGCAATATCCAAACTCCTGGGAAATTGTATCACTGCGCTCTGTGCGTATTCAGTGCCAAGCACCGATTGCCGCTCCTACAACACGTGAAATCTATGCGACATTTTCAAATGGAGCAGTTACATCAGCTTCACAGGAGAAGCAGCCTCCAAGGAAACGAGACTCCGCACACGGATATCAGCGACGTGTTTCAGGTAGTGAGCGATCCCGATGTGCCGCCCACGCAACAACCGAGCCCGACCACGCCAACGACACCCAACGCTACAAGCACCAACAATGGTGAGTTACAACAAATCTAATAATAAATAAATACGACAAATATTATATATATCCGTCATAAAATATTATCGTTTATATAATTATATCATTAATATTCAAAATCAACTTTTTTCATGTTAAGAATATCATATTTTTAATATATGTATAGAAAAAATTGCTTTACATTTTACATGAAATGATGTTGACATTTATTATATAGCAAAATTACGAAGAGTAATCAATTAAGAATGGCAAAGTACGCTAAAAGCTCATATTTTAAGAAATTTACATAAAAATGGAATATTCAATTAATTTGGTTTTTTGATAAAGTAATGGATTATGATCACACATTTATGTTGTATTCTTTGCTTTCTCAAAAACTAAATTCCTTTAAACACTTTTTTTTTATAAAGACAGCTGTGTGTCGATACTAAAAGAGCATTTTTGTATTTTTTGATCAATCAACACATGAGATAATTTTTTAAAATTATTTATTCGTTATAACTTGTTTATTTTATGTTTTTAACAGGCTTTATAATTAATTGATAGATCATATATTGGTTGTAAATTTTTTTATATTAGATATACTTGAGAACAGTATTTAAAAAAATGTCAGCATACATTATAAAAATTACATATACGAAACAAGAGAGAGGTAGGTTCATGCTAGATATAATTTCTTTTATGGCAAATTTCTTTTATGTTGGCTTGCACCCTACATTAGTTTGTGCGAGCAAAGAAAACTACACCTGCAACTACACCCTTAATGAATTCAGTGGTCTCATTATTTTGTTATCTCACAATTAGTCGGCAATGATGGTAATTTTGTATGGCATATGGCCATGGCGTGTGCCGTCACTACCGGCGTGCACAATGCTGCGTGTTATTATGTAATATATATTGGTAGGGACTGTATTTATATAAATATATATGGAGAAATGAGAAACCAGCAAGCACACAGTTGCTCCGCGCGCTTTGCAAGACATCGCAACTGACGGTCGTATCGTGCAAATTTTCGGACAATGCCGCACGATACAGACGGTGTTTCTTTTTCGTCTTTTTTTTATCGTTCCTTTCTTTTTTTTCTCTTCTCTTTCGTAGAAAACCGCCATATCAATTCGATGTGTGTCGATGCGGCCAATCTGTAATTTGACTTATTACTGTTGTAAAACCGGCGCGAGAGCATCTGCGACGCGTGCAAAGGACCGACCGTTGGTTCCTCGTCGTCTTCCTCTTTTCGACACGGCCGGAAAACTTTCTCTCCGCGATGACGGCGATATGTACATACGTACATGCGTGCGCGTTTTGCTTGCGTAAATCCTTCCGTTCGCGCACCGAAACGACCGGCAGAATATATATAATTGCACCGGTAATTCTTTCGCGGATCGGTCACCGGATGGACCGCGGGAGGAAAAATCGCAAGCGCGGTTCTCGGGTAAGTCTAATCAATTTAATAGAGCCGATAGAGAGAATATCCGACATATAGCCGGTGCGTACGTGACACTAAACGCGAACTTTACGTTGCGTAGCACTGTGTGTGCCATAGTTTAGCCGGTAGTATCTATAATTTACTTTCTCCTGTGGCGTTTCAAACTAATGTCTCGGGGAATGAATCGCTGCGAAATAGATGGCTGTTTCCTGCGCGCGTCTGAATACTTATTGCCGAAGTTTAATATTGCGCCGACCGAATGAAACAACCGATTTATTGTAGCAAATGTCGGCGAAATCGAAACGTAAATAATCTTACTATAACAATATATATGATAATTAGAAGGAAATTGTAATTGTGAAATGTTCTACGGTAGGTAGAAATTTTATAAATAATCATAAGTGCTTTTCTTGTCATTCTTTGCACATATAAGTGATTATACACCATTTGCGTTTTTAATTAACCGTTTACTACGGCGCCGAGAAATACGATTTAAAATATTTTGTGATGAATAAATATCAATCGCAAAAAACAAGTTTCGTAATTTCAAGACGCACTCGGACATTCATAAAGATACTATAATAAATGGATCGTAAAAAACTTTCTTTTTTTTCTGCTTAACATTGGAACTTCCATTTTGTATTAATTTCGCATCAAGACGTTTCGGTTATAAAATCAGAAATACCAATCAATAAATATCAATGTCAATTTAAAGAAAAATTGTGTGTATAATAATTTAATTTATACAATTTTACTTAAGAATTTCCGCTATCTATATTCCTTAGAAATTTTATATACGTCTGAAGATTTTAAATCCTATTCTCACATGTAACATTTTTTTATATGCTCTAAAATAAAGAAAAAAAGAAAAGGTCAAATCTTGATAAAATTAAGAAAGAGACAACAATAAAAAATGTTTGAAACAAAATCCATCAAAATCTATAAAAAATAAAAGAATTTTGATATTTTAATTATTTTCAAGTGCTCCATTTTAAACTACATAGATATTCATTATTTACAGACAACATTTAAAAAAATCTTTTTAATATATATATATATATATATATATATATACCTAATATCTTTTTAATAATTTAAAAAATTTAAAAAAAAATTTAAAATTCTGCTCTTTTGTCCATATTATACTTTCCTTTAAACAGATTAAATGGATTAAAACTACAATTTTTTTTCAATAGTGATATGTTATTGACTTAATTTACTTTATATTAAATCAGAACATTAATCATTTTTATCATCTTTAATATGAAGATTCTTAATAATTAATTAGTTGTTGCATCCGAAAAGAATCTTCGAAAAACATTTTTTTTTGTCTGATTTCAGAACGACGGGAGGAAGGTAGTGAGTGCGGTAGTGAAGTGAAACAAGAACCGGATAATGATCCAGAACCGGAAATGGAGCCGGAGAATGATCAAGACGAAATTACGTGCCTATACTGTACGTATCAGCCGACGTCGCGGGAAGAATTACGACAGCATTTGCAAGTGGCTCACGTTCATGATTCGGAAGAGAAAACTGAAGCAGTGAAGGAAGAGCCGACGCCGGACTTATTATGCCCCTTGTGCCAAGATAGTTTCAAGGAACGTCCTGCTCTCGAGAAACACGTGATGCAAATTCATTCCGTTAACACCGATGGCCTGCAGAGGCTATTACTACTGGTGGATCAAAGTCATTGGCTGAATAATAATCCGAGGAATACTTCAACGCCAGCTGTAACAGCTGCAACGACGCCAACATCGCCCACGACAACGACGAAACCCCATCAGGAAGAAGACATGAGCGAACGGAGTGGCAACGATGACATCGAAGAACTCAACAGGACTGTGTGTACTGTGTGTGGTCGAACTTACCGTTCTCCCGAAGACCTTCAGCAACATCACAGAGAAAATCATCCAGCTACTATGCTCACTTTAGCAGTTAGCGAGAAACATGTTTACAAGTATCGTTGTGGACAGTGCAGTCTCGCTTTCAAGACTTTGGAGAAAGTTCAACAACACTCCCAGTACCACGCGATCAGAGATGCAACCAAATGCACCTTCTGCGGACGATCTTTTCGTTCAGTTCAAGCGCTTCAAAGACACTTGGAATCTACCCATGATCTCCATGAAGACGAATTAGCTCAGTACAAACAGAGCTTAATCGCACATCCCTTGCTTCAAGCGCTTACGGAAGAAACATTGAAGAGGCAAAGCGGCTTGATTGGCGAGCAGAATGTGGAAGATGATGCCGGTAGAGGTGACGAAGAAGAAAGTGATGCTAGTGATTCGTCTCCGTTGCAGAAAGAGCAACGTCTACTAGAGGATTATTTAAATAGCCAAACAATTGCTGAAGATTCTTATCACGATCCTAATCGAAAATTCAAGTGTCACCGGTGCAAAGTGGCCTTTACGCGTCAGAGCTATCTCACTGGTCACAACAAGACTTTGTTGCATCGCAAAGGTGAAAAGATGTCTTATCCAATGGAAAAGTATCTGGATCCTAACAGACCGTACAAGTGCGATGTTTGCAAGGAGAGTTTCACACAGAAGAACATACTTCTCGTGCATTACAACAGCGTCAGCCACTTACACAAACTAAAGCGAGCGATGGCACAGGAGCAAGGTAACAACAATACATTGATTTCGGTAGTACCTCCGGCCAGTCCGACCGAATCGCCCGATTCCCAACAAGATCAAGACAAGAAACCTTACAAATGCAACATCTGCAAAGTCGCATATACCCAGGGAAGCACCCTGGATATTCACATGAGGAGTGTCCTTCATCAAACGCGTACCAGTAAACTGCAGGATCTTGCAGCTAGCGGTCAGGTAGATCTCGCTCGGCCACTAATTGAGCAACCATCGCCGATAAGCCCAACCAGTTCACCCGTTAATAGTAACACTAGTAATGCAAGCGGGATGCTTTGTTGTTCACGCTGCAGTGCTCTGTTCGTCAATCAGGAACAATTAGCAACACATCAGCAACTATACTGCATTTTTAGTAATCCACTGGCATTGTTTCAACAATTAGCTGCTTCGCAGCAATTAACCTCATCCACTCCGGCTAAGACACCACCTCCTACATCCACGACGCCAGGACCGCAGCAACACATGCAACAAGCCACGCAACATTCGTCGCAGGACATTCTATCCCAACCTCGACATAAGACCTCGCAAATGTACAAACATCTTTTGGAAAGCTTCGGTTTTGATCTCGTCATGCAGTTCAATGAGAATCATCAAAGACGGCAGCGTAAAGAGGAGGAAGCGGCCGCCGCTCTTCAAGCGCAGCAGGAACAACAAAAGCAGGAACAGCAGAAGCAAGCTCTCGCTGCTCAAGCCGCGCAAGAGAAAGAGGAAGAAGCTGAGGAGACTCACATTGATGATGACGTGATACCCGAGCTTACACGCAGCACTTGCCAGCACTGTAACAAAGAATTTAGCAGTGTTTGGGTTCTGAAGGCTCACTGTGAAGAGGTCCATCGCGATCTTGTACCGCGCGAATTCCTCGAAAAATATGCGCAGCAGTTCAAATGCGAGTACGAGAAGAAAAGCGTGGTGGTGACCGTCGCGACATCCTCATCAACTACTACGGCGCCGAGGAGCTCCACGCCTGCTGCTGGACAACCACAAGATCTTAGCTCCGATAAAGAATCACGCGAAAAAGAAAAGGAAGAAAACACTGAATGCAAGGAACGTATCAGCCGAACACCAGAAGCCACATCAACTACTCCAGCTACTACTCCGGCATTGAGTAACACTCCCGTTTCAAGTACAGACTCTACGACGCCGACTGTACTGCCTACCAATTCGCATCACATTTCACAACAGCAGCAGTCACAGCAGCAGCAGCAACAACAACAGCTACAGCAACATTCACAACTTACATTTGCTCAACAAATGTCCGAAATGCAAGCTGCTTTGAACGCAATGGCGGCATCGCAACTACAGCAACATCTGCAACAATATCCGGGATTGATGATGGGAATGATGGGATTACCATTCTCATTGAACGCTGTACCTGCTTTGGCAGCTATGAACTTACAGCCGCCTTTAGTGCCAATGATGTTACCACCACCACCGTATGATGGTGCCGCCGCCGGATATCCACCAATTAATCAAGCGGATCTTCTTGCTAAACAGCATCTTGCTCTTCAGCAACAACAGGCGGCAGCAGCGGTAAGTAGCATGAGAGATATATACTATGTGTTGTAATATTTATTTATTTTATATTTATTCATTTATTTATTTATTGACGCAAACCATTTTTTGATAATAAATAATATTACAATAGTGTCGAACAGTAGTAAATAATATAGTTAGAAATAAAGATATAGTTATGCCAGGAGGATAAGACAGATTTAAAAGAATGTTTAAATTTATATGCAAAAGTGAAATGTTGTTCGAAAAAGATATTTTTCGTATTAATCTATCCATCAATCTATATTTAATTATCTTCTGCATTGCATAATTGTCGAATATCAATTACATATGTCAAATATTAGAAAGCGGACGGAAAGTACGAGCGATTTTTTTGACCTTTCAGGCGAACGCAGCTGCATCACAGAAACGAGCGCGTACGCGTATCACAGATGAACAGCTAAAGATACTACGCGGCCACTTTGATATTAATAATTCTCCTGGTGAGGAACAAATTTTGGAAATGGCCGCCCAAAGCGGTTTGCCGCCTAAAGTTATAAAACATTGGTTCCGAAATACGTTATTTAAAGAGCGGCAACGTAACAAGGATAGTCCTTACAATTTCAATAATCCGCCAAGTACCACTTTGAATCTCGAGGAATACGAAAAGACAGGTGAAGCGAAAGTGACCCCATTAAATTCCAGCGTATCTGGCAGTTCTTGCGACGATAAAAGTCCAAATAAGCAAGTCACGCCTCCACCATCTATACAAAATGCAAGCACATCGCAACTTACCGAGATTAAACAGGAGGCGCCGGAGCAATCACAGTGTCAACAACAACAGCAAAGTCAACAACATCAAGAAGAGCAGCAACATCATTCACCCGGTAGCTCGGGTGGCCAACAATCACGACCGCATTCACCTGCGCTCAGTATGAGTTCTGTATTCTCGGGCATCCATCATGACATTTCGTCTCATCCCCCATCGACTACAAACGCCCCGAGTACTCCAATGTTACCGCCGAAACTGGCGCCCCAAAATTTTGCCAATCCTACTCCGGGAACAGGTAACGTAGTGTCGAACGCGATCGCTGCCATGGCACTTACACCGCAGAGATCTCTTAGCCCGGGCCGCGGACCGACGGATTATTCTTTCGGCGGCAATAGTAATGGCAGCAACGCTTCCGGCGGCAGTTCCGGAAAACGCGCCAATCGAACGAGATTCACCGATTATCAAATAAAAGTTCTTCAAGAATTTTTTGAGAACAACGCGTATCCGAAAGACGATGATTTAGAGTACCTCAGCAAGCTTCTTGGTTTGAGTCCGCGCGTGATTGTGGTGTGGTTTCAAAATGCTAGGCAAAAGGCACGTAAAGTGTATGAGAACCAACCTGCCGCCGAGCCCGTGACAGCGGGTGGACGCGAGAACGATGATGGTTCCGGTAGATTTCAGAGAACACCAGGATTAAATTATCAGTGCAAAAAATGCCTGCTAGTATTTCAACGATATTACGAACTTATACGCCATCAAAAGACGCACTGCTTCAAAGAGGAAGACGCCAAGAGGAGCGCGCAAGCCCAGGCTGCGGCGGCTCAGGTTGCCGCAGTTCTGAGTTCCGAAGACAGTAACAGCAGTTCTACTACAACAACAAATAACACGGTAGCTAACAATCCGTCGGCCGCCCCTGCGCTCGCCGAACAATTACAACAACCATTGAACACCGCCACGCCTCCTCATCAACATCAGCAGCAGACACTATCTCAAACGCATCAACAGTCTCAGCAGCAGTCGCAACAGCAGCAATCGCAACAACAGCAATCACAAACGGAATCAAAGGAAAGTAGCTATCAGTGCGAGAAATGCAATTTGGTGTTCGGACGATTCGAGCTTTGGCGCGAACATCAGCTAGTACATATCATGAACCCGTCTCTGTTTCCGCCAACCTACCCACCTGATACACCTTTCGGAATTCTGCAGCAGCAAGCACTTAACGCTACCTCCGGAGTTACAACAGACACTCCGCATCCGCTCATCGCCATGATGCAAAAAAGAAAATACGAAGACTCCGAGGAGGGAACGGGCAGCGACAACCGTTTAAACTCGGAACACAACGAGCAACCGAAGGACAAACGTTTGCGAACTACGATACTCCCGGAACAACTGGACTATCTCTATCAGAAGTACCAGATCGAGTCTAATCCATCGAGGAAGATGCTGGAGACGATCGCCCGCGAGGTCGGTTTGAAGAAACGCGTAGTGCAAGTGTGGTTCCAAAATACACGCGCTCGCGAACGTAAGGGTCAATTCCGCGCCCACAGCCAAGTGATCAACAAGCGCTGTCCGTTCTGTCCGGCGCTATTTAAAGTAAAGTCCGCCCTGGAATCTCATCTCAGCAGTAAACACGCGGATCAGGTAGCACGTGGTGAAGTAAACATTGACAATATCCCGGATGAGGAGCTCTCGATGGAATCCGCTCCTTCAAATTCTAGCACTCCTCATATGATGCCACCGCTGTTTCCGCCGATCAATAGTGACATGGAGGCATCTTTAAAGTCTTTGAAAACCTCTTATTATGAGGAAATGAAGCGATACTTTAGCGAGCTGGCGCACGCCAGTAATGGAAAGCAAGAAATAGCGAATCATCAAATCGGTCACAATACCGAGTCACCGTTGGATCTTAGCAAACCAGTCGATCTCAGCCGACCCATGAAACTGACTCTGGGCGGTCTAAGTAGCCTTCTCGAAGAGCAACATGGCGCTCACTTCCGCGGTGGCAGCGATTGCGGACCTCTGACTGATTTATCCGAGCGCAGCATCTGCGACGATGACAGCATGAGCGAAACCACGGAATTCCTAGACGATGAAAGCGGGCCGGCGAGTCCGGCTTCGAGTACTCAGAGCTCGAGGCAAGGACCCGCTAGCGGAGGCACCGGGAATACCTCTGGGCCGCCGGTGACCAATGCACAGTCCAGCGGCGGGAACACCACTGGTCAATCCGGCGGCAAGCGGTACCGTACGCAGATGTCAGGCACCCAGGTGAAAGTGATGAAGTCGCTATTCTCGGATTACAAGACACCGACGATGGCAGAATGTGAAATGCTCGGCCGCGAGATCGGCTTGCCGAAGCGGGTGGTCCAGGTGAGCATCGATGGTCCTCGTGCGAGCCCGGCTCCGAGCTCGTAATAAATCGTTAATAACCCTACGAGGAAGCTGTTGTTTGGACGCGCGCGCGTGTCTAATCTCGATCCGAGTTTACGGAGACTAATGGAAACGAGTTGCAGGTGTGGTTCCAGAATGCCCGTGCCAAGGAGAAAAAAGCCAGGCTAGCGGCGGGTCTGCCGGCCGAGAGCTCAGCCGTTCAACCGCATCGCGGACCGACCGGACCAGACGAATGTAGACTGTGTTCTGTGCGCTACTCGGCCAAGACCCCGCTGCAGGAGCATGTCTTCTCGCGGCGGCACATCGAATCGGTACGCGTCGCTGTCGAAGAGGGCAGTCTGGTGCCGCCAACTCCCGGAGCACCGATCGTGCTAGGTGGCGGTGGCGGCGGCGGTCCTGGTATCAGCAATTCGCCGGTAGTCGCCACTACCAGTCAGCAAATCAACCAACAGCAGCAGTCGGACGAAAATATGATGTACGGATCCGTGTTCCTCCACCCTACGGCAATGTTCCAGTCGCAGCAGCAGCAGCAGCATCCCGCCGGTGCTACGGCCAGCGCAGCTAGCACCACTACCGGTGAGTGTCTAGCTGACCTCTTAGACGACTAAACGACGCCGGTTCGAAATTCGTACTAATTTAACGAACAGCTATTTGTATGCATACACATATGAATACATATATCGCAATTTTCAATGCAATTGTGGATTTACTCAATTTTAATTGTCAATCGCGTGAAAGATTTTTGTTTCGACTTTTGGGGTGATTTTTTTTATAAATTTTATCGATGAGTGTGGATCTTTGGGCGTTCGCGTTAAAATTGAAATTACGTTACGAAATTTCGAATTCGCGAGCGTTAAGTCGTTTATAAATATGTCTGTATTTCTGACATATTATGTAGTCTATGTATATATTGCGATGATATTGTTGATAATGATGTACGTATTTGTAAAATCGGGCCTGTGTGATACTCTAAAGGGCCTATTTGAATAGTGACGTATTAAAATAGTGAGGATTAAAATAGTTAAATTTGGGAAGATATACTTCTATATATATATATACACACACATGTACATACCCTATATATACATATATATATATACATATATAGCGAATATAATATATCTAGAGCTAGGCAATACTAAAAGTTCCTTACAGTTATCATCAGATAACTATTAGCATAAGAATATATGAAATATAATAGCATAAGAACGAATGAGATTTCGCGAAATTGCATAAAGAGAATGACTGAGTCAGAGAAAGAATGGGGTGGGTTTTTGAGAAGAAATATGCAAGAAAAATATGCGCGTATAACACGATACAAGAATAAATTTTTTTTGTTTAAATGATTTATAATGATCTCTATTGAATAACAGAGATCCGAATTTAATCTCCTGTAAATTGCTGTATAGTTGAAGAGAGATTCACATTATGACAATTCTATTATATTTTATATTATCTGTTATATCTCTTAAAAGCGCCGTTATGTCTTTTATTTAATCGATTATTATATGAAGCTTTCTTTCGATTGACATCGTTCCGTTATACTGTCGTCGTTATCGTCGTCCTTATTTGCGAAACCATTCCAACATCTTCACGTCCTTTATTAATTTTTTTTTCGCGCTACGCATTCTACGTTTACTGTAAATATTTCGCAAATTCTCGCTCTTATCCCGAATCGGGATCCGAGAGAGCGAGGGCTCTCTCTCGCGATTGATCTTTATTTAAGTACACACGTAAACTCTCCATGATAACCAATTCTACATCTTAGCTTACACGCAGCGTCTCAGCGCAGTAATGCCTTATTTGCTATTAACGACGACGTCATACACGACATTGAAAACTGTACGCAGCTATAAATATACAGCTATATCACACACAGGTATATTATTTTTTTTATATTAATTATTTATGAAACTTTTTTTTGTGATGTGGTCACGCTCTCGTCTGCCCACGTGTCCAACTGGTTAGGAATCGGAAACGTTATATTAATTATTGCGTGTCACCATCACCGCTGCCGGTATATAATATATATATATATCGCATATATCTTTATTTCGTTGAAACGAATGTGTGTGTGAGAAATGCACGTCTGTTGCGTGATACTGAGATAACAGAGCAAATGATTCCGCAAGATCCATGAAACGTGCTTACACATATTGGACGACGAATCATAACAAAAAACACGGTATAAAAAACTTGGTTTAATTGTATTAAATCATTGTATTTCAAGATGAGGATTAATAATGAATGAAGTAAAACAATCTTAACGATATGTATTAAATGCAACAACGTGAGAAATGAAAGAAAATAGAATCATTTTGATCATTTTCACTGCAAAGATAAGATATAGTATTTTCAAGCGGTGATGGCTTCTCGGTGCTTAGCTACTCGAAACTAGACATAGAGACCGTATGTGTACTGAATACGTATACATATTTACCTAACTTAATCAGTGATGCTTTCACTGGTATAATCGCGAATTATGATAATTAATTAGAAACATTTTTCTAGAGCTGAATATTATAGAATATCGTAAAATGTTAGATTCGTTCTTTTTGTTGGATAGTTATTATTATTTTGTTCTTCTTGTGAAATTCGTACAGCGTTTTGTAAAATAAAATAGAAACTTTTGAGACTCGAATATATTATAGAAATTATATATGTAAACATCCCGCAAAGACGTAGTGTGTAGTAAAGGCTCTCATTATTTACACGTACAATAGATACGTATCAGAGAGAAGTATAAGGGATGGCATCGTCAACAAGTTTTTCAATTTTTATTGCGATTTTATGCTAAAGTAGCAAACAATTCATTTTCAAAAAATGGACTCGGAATGGGCAACGACATTAACGCAACATTGATTGATTGATGCAATGGCAGTAACCTTGAATAGTTGGCGATGTGCGTCCGTTTATTTTTTTTTCTCTCTCTCTCTCTCTCTCTCTCCCTCTTTTTCCAATTAATTTTATTTTACACTCGTATCTCCGTGGCTGACGAGGGTGTGGCTTCGCTTTTTTCGCTTTCTTTTCTTCATACATATAAGATATACACTCATTTATATTACTTACACATAAGTACATTCATATACGGACACATAATGTTATGTATGTCGATCGCTACACTATTTTCCTACCACTTTTTCTTATGTATATACAATATAGTTTATTATTATTATTATTATTA